CCAGCCCGCACCATCCGCACCACCCGCACCCTCCCGGCGGCCTGTCCGCCGCGGGCACCCTCAAGATGATGCCCTCGGACCACCGGAGCAAATCGAAAAAGACAGTGGACAAGAACAGTAACGAGTACCGGGTGCGCCGGGAGCGCAACAACATCGCGGTGCGCAAGAGCCGGGACAAGGCCAAGCAGCGCAACGTGGAGACGCAGCAGAAGGTGCTGGAGCTCACCACCGACAACGAGCGGCTGCGCAAGCGGGTGGAGCAGCTCACCCGGGAGCTGGAGACACTGCGGGGCATCTTCAGGCAGCTGCCCGAGAGCTCGCTGGTGAAGGCCATGGGCAGCTGCGCCTAGCGCGGCGCCGGGACCGGCCGGGCTGCGCTGCCCTGCCCGCGCACAGATACTGTAGGCACCGGCGTGCGGCAAGCGCCGTGTGCCGGCGGGAGGGGAACGGGGGGTTGTTTTGGTTTGGTTTTGTTTCGTTTCGTTTGTTTTTTATCGATTCACGACCTATACAAGAAGCCAGGCAGCTCTAGTATTGAAAGGTTTGTGCCTTAGAGATGACACACGAGTAAGCTGAAAACATGGTAGGTTTTCTAAGGAGAAAGGCAAGGGGAGAAAAGAATTAAAAGACCACGTGTCTACACAGGGTAAATAACAGTAATAATAATAATAATATTAATAACAATAACAGTCATAAAGCACACATAGCAACCCAGATGTGCCTTAAAAGCTGGCTGCAGGAGCTCTGGGGCTTACTGTGCCCTCCAGCCTTGCAGGGTGCGAGGAGAAGGACCGAGGGACGTGCAGGCTTGGGGGCTGCGGTGTGTGGGGTGTCCTTGCTGACCCCTTCCAGCTGGCCTGCAGTGCAGCAGGCAGGAGCAGCTTTGGGGCAGCCAGCGATGAGAAGAGGATTTGAGGCTGAGCGATGTGCAGCACTGGGCGCCGTGAGGAGCACTGAGGTGTGGGGCAGCCCCCGGACTGCTGCCAGGACTGTCGCAGCCTGGCCGGGCTGCCTCTGCCGAGCCCTGTCCCCTGCCTTGGCTGGAGGGGGACAAGGGGCCAGCGCCGCTGCAGGACCGATGGACAGCCTGGGACTGATGGAGCAGCAGCTTGCAAGAGTGTGGTGAGCTCTCTCCATCGACAGAAAGAGCAGCAGTGTCTTGTACTGTATGTCACGACGTGGCGAAGCACAAATGAATAAATACCTATTGATGCGGGTATTTACTATGAACTTGCAGTGTATTTTGCTTTATTCCAGGACATTTTGCTCTTCTCCAAGTCTCTGTCCACCCAAACTGTGCCTCATGTAATGTGAAAGCCGTTCCATGTACACTAGCTATACTTTATTGCCTTACTTAGATCTTTGCCATCACACAACTTTCTTATCTGGTGACAGAGACTATGCCCTTGTGCTGCAACGTTATTTTATTATTTGTATGGGTGAGTGGGTGTGAGTGTGCGTTGCCTTCTTCACATTGTCCTGTGCTGGTTGCTGCCTCCCGACCACAAGGCAGGAGTGCCTGGAATGGGGCAGGGGTTGTGGGGCTGCACGATGCCTGTGGTGAGGCAAGGAGGCTTGTCCCTGGTGCTGCTGCACCTTTGGACTCTGGAGCTTCTCCCAGAGTGAGGGAAAAATAAACAAACAAACAGGCCCCCTGGGCATTCTGGTAGCCATGCAGAACATTTCTTCCTTGTGTCGTAGCTGCATAACAATTTGTCCAACTGAAGTAGGTCTTGACAAGAGAGCAGAACAAGGTGGATGGAGCTGTTTGGAAGCATGACAGTGAGAGCACAGTGCTGGCAGCGTGTGTGTTTGTGTGCAGTGTGTGTATGGTATGTATACGTGTATGTATATGCACACACGTTGGTGGGTTTTTTTTTAATTTTGGGGGGGGAGGGAACTGCATTTAAAATTTGTCAGAAGTCCTGGTTACGTTCATAAATAAACAGCATATATTCTACCATAACCACCCGCCTCTCTGCTTGTTTCCAGTTCTCTTCCTGTAGCAGGAGTGCCAAAGCTCTCCTCTTCCTCCAGACCAGCACCCAGCTCTCCACCGACTTCTGCATCCCCTGCCAGGGCTGGTGACTGAAACGTGTTAATGGAGTGCAACTCCTCGGTTTTCACCCCAGAGAAATAAATACACGGTTGCCTTTAAGAGAACGGCAATTTCCTAAACGCTTGCGGTGGCAGATGTGAGCCCGTGAGTCACGCCTCGCTTCACCCTTCACCCCGCCGCGGCCGGGCTGGGGGCCTGCGGCCGGGGCAGCGGGGACGGGCGGCCCCAGGGACCGGGGAGGCTCCGGGTGCCGAGGACGCGCAGCCCGCCCGCTCCCCCGGGCCCGGCCGGCCGGGCAGCCCGCGGGTCTCCGCGGGGCGCGGGGGACAGAGCCGGGGCGCGGCGGGGCCGGGCCTCTCTCGCCCGGCAACGCTGCCCTGCCCGTCCCTTCCCGGCCAAGCACAGCCCTGCCGTCCCCCGCCGCCCTTCCCTCTCGCGGGGTCGGGCCCGGAGGCGCCACCCCGGCCCCTCGGAGCCGGCGGGACGCGGGGCAGGGCAGGGGGCAGGCGGGGTCCGGCCGCGGGCCACGGCGGGGAGGTGGCGCGAGACCGGGCGGCGACGGGGGCGGGCAGGGGCAGCCGTGAGGGGGGCGGTGGCTCCGCCTCGGCCGTCCCGTCCCGTCCCTTCCCGGGGCTCCGCCGTGGGGCGGCCGGCCCTGAGGTGAATGAGCCTCGGCGTGTGGCTCCGTGCCCGGATACCCTGTGAGGGGAGAGCGGGGTCTCGGGGCGCCGCCCGCTCTGCTCTCCGGCGGCACTTGGTGCCCGGGCTGGGACTGCGCCTCAGGCGTGTGAGGGAAGCGGCCCCAGAGCCCGGCCCTTCGGCAGCGCCTGGGTGGACCTTTCCCGTCCAGGGGAACCCACCCGGGGAGCCGCGCTCCCCACAGCTCGCTGTCCCCCATAGCTCACTGCCCCCCACAGCTGAGTGCTGCCCACAGCTCACTGCTGCCCACAGCTCGCTGCTCCCCACAGCTCAGTGCTCCCCACCACTCGCTGCTGCCCACAGCTCGCTGCCCCCCAGAGATCGCTGCTCCCCACAGCACACTGCTCCCCACAGCTCGCTGCTATGCACAGCTCGCTGTCCCCCACAGCTCGCTGCTCCCCACACTCGCTGCTCCCCACAGCTCAGTGCTGCCCACAGCTCGCTGCTCCCCCCAACTCGGCGCTCCCCACAGCTCAGTGCTCCATGGTGTGCCCACTGCCCTCATGCTGTGTGTGTCCAGCGTGGCACATCACAGCAGAATTTAAACACCGCAGAGGGAGAGCATTGGATGCACAAGTGTGTGACCGGGATGCTCGAGCTGCGGGGGAGATTGGCTCCCGAAGCGCCTCAGCCAGGGCAGGTGCAGCCCCCGAGCCCTGCTGGGCCCTGGCATGGATGGATGGGGCAGTTCCGAGGGGCTTTGCCTCTTCCAGAGAGGTTCATGCTGGGCCATCAGGGAAGGCAAGGCTGTTCTTCTGACATCCAGCATGATGGTGATTCTGCAAACACTCACTGCTTGCGGTGGTGAAAGATAAGTGCAAATCGGGAACAAGGATTTCACTTTTCAGTTAAAGTAGGTTGTGGGGTCCAGAGCTAGTAATTTTCCAAGGAGAGAGTTAAGTTCTAGTGGTGTTGGGCAAAAATAATGACTTTTACTTGTGCTTCCTTCCTTCCCCAGCCCTGCAGAGCTGTACACCCGTCGGGTAGGATGTGCCTAACTGAGTAATGCTGTCCAACGTGTAAAGTGGGGAAATGCTGTTATCATTTGAGCAAAGATTATTGCAGGGTATAGGTGGGAGGGACTCTAATCTAGTGGTTAGAGCATGGGAATACAGTCCTGGTTGTTTGAGTTATGTTCTGAACTGTGACTCACCGTGTGTGTGTGTGGTTTCAGCAAATCATTTATGGCCTCACAAAGCAGATTTTTCCATTAATTTAAATGAACTGTAGATTAAACTGCTCTTCAGTGGCACAAGAATCAGCCATTCTGTGATTCAAAAGTAAGATCACCTGTCTACCACATAGGTGTTTCAATAGTTATATAAACACAGAATGCCCTGGAATAGTACGAAGGGTAAATTATTGATAGCATAAAAGTGTTTAGAGACACTTGCCTTAAACACAGTGCCAGAGTGAGCAGCATTCTCTAATCCTAACCCTAACTGTAGGCTGAGCCCTCGACAAGGCCCTCACTCATGGCTTAAGACAAAACAGTTCTCACAGCACAGAGCTTTTTGCAGTCTTCACATGCTCTTTGTGGACTGCCCTTTGCTTTGGCAGCCCCCTCCCAGCCCTTCCCAGCTGCAGAATCTGCATTTTCTCTTCCTTTCAAACCAAACCCTTACCCTGGCACACAGCTGAGCCTTCAAAAAGTCCCTAAGTCATTGCTCAGATGACAAAAGTTCTGAGAGCAACATGTCCAGGAACATGTGTCTTAGCAGCAGGGTCAGAGCCTGCAGTCCTGCACTGCTCCACTCTCACACGTGACCCCATGCATTGTCTGTTTCAGCAATATTTAGGCATGTACTATACAAGCTGGATGGTGGAGAGGATTTTATGCACTGTCCACTCCAAATATCACAGGACATGGAGCTGGAAGGGACCTCTGGGGACTGTCTGGAGCAGCACACTGCTGCAGAGGATGGCAGGCACAGCTGTGCTGTGACACACAGGTAAGTGTGACAGGACCGTGGGCAGGGACTGTTCTCACATGTGGCACCGCCACTCCCATGTTCCCACAGTGGCACTTCCACTCCTGCCCTGCACACACACCCTGGCATGGGCAAACCTTGATCAGCTCCAGCTCTGTGGGTGTCTGTACTCAGCAACGTTTGTCTTCATGACTGCTGGGTGTTTTTTTGGTTTTCCCACTGAGCTTGTTCCTTTCACACACAGCACTGCTGCAATGCTGCCGAGCCTCTGCCCGTCCTGCCGGGCTGCTGGGGCTCTGCTGTCCTTCCTTCTCCACCCCTGCCCCTCACCAGGCCCAGACACGGCGCTGGGGACACGGAGGGGGTGACGTGGAGGTTGGGCACTGACTGGGAGGCTGAGCAAGTAATCACATGTTGAGGATGAAGGGAGTAGTTGTCTGCCAGCACTGTGTACAGAGTTGAGAGATTGCTCATGGCCATGGCAAAGTCCTGCAGCAGTTGGGGGTGGTGGAGGAATGTCATAGTTTCTCAGGCTTTTTATTGCTGTGACAAGAGAACTGCCCCTGAGGAGCTTTCCTCATCTACCTGCTTCAGGAGTTTGGAGGAGAGGAACAAATTTCTGCACTGAAGTGGGGCAGTGAGAGATGCCCTGCTGGTGAGAGAAAGCAGGTGTTTGTGCTTATTTATTTGGACTTGTTGGTTGAATTGTCTTTGAATCAATTCACTCGTGAAAAGAATGGCAAATGTGTCTGAGTAAAGGATAGAGAAACAGGCCCTCTCTTGGTATAATGAAATAAAAAAATTATGTTTTATACATTGACAACTCTGGTTTTTGGTGTGTTTTTCTTCCCCTGTAATGAAATCCATGTTCATACACATGAAATTACATACAAACACCACACAAATATCAATGTTACGGTGTGGTTTGCTGTATCATACATAAAATACATACTGCATTTTAAAGCCAAGACTTGGTAATAATAAGCATATCACAAGAAACTTCAGAATCAGAAAGTCACTTCAGATGACTTCCTTCCAGTTCCTAATATATTATTATTATTTTATGATACTGCTACTGTGGATCCAAAGAGAGAAAAGCAGCCCATATCTCAAAGAGTTTACACCTTTGGTGGAAAATGAGCATATGCTTAAATGATATATAATATGTATATTATATATATTGTATATCCTGATTAACCCAGTCAGTGTATGTAGCCTGAAATAAAAATCAGCTGTTTGGAATACATATTTTTTTGTGTCCTTTCCATTATTGGGTTGCTGCTCAGGTTACCCCTGGTGGGCTGAAGGCAGAATGTTTGCACTTCCTTTACTGCCAAGTACTTTGCTATAGACTTCACAAAATGCCTCTCTATGCTGGAGGAATGGGCTGGTGTCTTCAGGACTATGTGGGTATACCTCTTTATTTGGAAGGGAATCCTCACAAAGGGAATCTGATTGATTTATTCTCAGTAAGTGCAATTTTCTTAGTTTAACACCATCCTATTTTACTGCAGTATTGCATCTTAGCTCTGAAATTAATAGTCAACCACAGAGAAAGACAGGTCTGGCAGAATGGAAGTTAGGCATTGTATTATCCCATGAGTCACATACATGCAGAGAACCAAACAAGTGTCAGCCAATGGCTTTGAGCCCAAAATGTGTCAAAGAGGAGATGAGTATCTTCATTTGTGTTAAGTAGATAGAAGGCTTGTTGCTGCTCCCATTAGTCGGGTTGGAGCTGTGCCATTGGCTTCAGCAGGAACAGGATTGGGCCCATGTGCTGGAAGCTGGCTCTGCTCACCTGCCCTGACTGTGTTTTATGTGTGGCAGGGCAACTTACATTTAACAACAGTTCTCAGTCAACAGGGAGATTCAAGACCTCCCCTAGTTAAAGGCATGACTCTTTATGAGTTTGATGACTTCTACACGATGTGAGAATGCTCAGCAGAAGGCAGCAATGAATGCTTTTCTGAGGGCAGCTTCACTGACAAGTAGAGAGGAATTAGCACAGAATCTTTCCTGAGAGCCGTTTTGTGACTTTTAGTTGTTTACATTTAAAATAAAGAACAACATGTAGGAATTAAGCCCACTTTAGACATTCAAACCACTTCCTCTAGCAAAATCATTTTGAAGTCAGGGAAAGTCTTGGCTGAATGGTTGCCTCAGAAGGTTTCAGAACTTTCTTGAATATTGTGGAAATTCTGTGTCTCAGTTTTCTTGCTCTGGGTATTCACTCTGCAGCTCCTAATGCATCTGGCTGTAGACTTGCCTCAAGAACCA